GCTCAGACATAAACATGTCACTGAACATGACTGACAGAATTGGGACCTCCCCAGGTACCTGGCTGGAACTTGGGGTGACTTGGGTGTTTTAGGTTACTGTACTTCAGTGTCCACATCATGGATGTGTTCCTCCTTGCCTTCTGCTTCTTATCCCGGAGGCCCCAGTCAAGGAGTTTATTGATTTTTCCTGGCTCTTCTGTTACCATAGGAAGCACCGTAGAGCACGAGACCGTTCCAGGTCGTCATCCTCTTCCTCCCATTCATCCCACTCCTACAAAGCAGAGGAGTACACTGAAGAGACAGAGGAAAGAGAGGAAAGCACCACCGGCTTTGACAAATCAAGACTGGGGACCAAAGACTTTGTGGGTCCAAGTGAACGAGGAGGCAGAGCTCGAGGGACCTTTGTAAGACCCTGCCCCCACCCCTTTCCTCTAAGCCCTTGCCTCCACCAATTCTGATTATTTGTTTATCAGAATACCAGTTTGGTTGCTCTTGATACAAGTAATCCAGTCTGTAGACCTCAAAATCTGTGGTTCCTATTGCCCGGGCGTCCCACTTGTAGTTGTTTTACTGATCGGAATCACTGAGCTATAAAGCCTCTTAGGGCTTCTGGTTCAGAACTTCCCAGCGTATCTTGGCTCCTGCTGTGTGTAGGGAGGCCATTGGGCCTTGCTGTCCTCTGTCTAGGCTGCGGGCCTGAGAGGAGCCGAAGGGGAATGGCTGGAAGCCAGCTGACTAGCACATTGACTGAGGACAGCTGTCCTGTGCCAGAAAAGTGTTTGAACAGAACATAGGGAGTTAAAAGTTTTCCTCTGTTTACGACCTGATCCTTTGTTCTTTTTCTCTGTTTATTACTACAGCAGTTTCGAGCCAGAGGGAGAGGCTGGGGCAGAGGCAGCTACTCTGGTAACAACAACAACAACAGCAACAACGATTTTCAAAAGAGAAGCCGGGAGGAGGAGTGGGACCCTGAGTACACACCCAAAAGCAAGAAGTACTACCTGGTATGTGTCTGGGGATAACCAAGGTGGGCCAGGGGGCCTTGGGCATGGGTAGTAGCTGATACCAAGGCTTTAGTTGGTCTGTTCAAAACTGATGAAATGTGTCTGCACACACCTTGCACTGGCGGGATGTGTACTCGTGGGACAGTATAGTGCTGGCAAGAGGAGCGTTCTCCACAGAGGTGGCCCTGGCCTCAGAAGGGTTTATCATCTGAGACATTTATGGATTCTAGGATAAGGAAGGAGGGCTGCTCTTCCCTTTTTAGTTTGTGAACTTGTCTACAGCTCACTCATGCCAAACCTCAGCCTCTAGCCTGTGCCCAGGGAAACTCTCCTCTTAAGCCACAGTTCCACTCTGTCACTTATGAGTGCAAGATTGGCAGGGAAGAGAGCTCAGGATCTCTCTGTCTCCGAGATGAACTGCAACTGGGGTTTCTCTCATTTTAGCTGTTGGGTCATTCCCAGGTAGGTGCCAGGCCCATTTCTGGGCCTCTCTCAGGCTGGGGCTCTTCTAGGCTGAATTACCTGGCTAGTGAGTGAAGTCTCAGCTCTGCTATGTAAATAGCAGGCTTAGATCCAAGCAGCTGTGACTCTGAGTATTGTGACCAAGGCCAACTTGGGGCTGAGTCTCTATCACCTACAAGAAAGGCTGGTATGGGTCTGAGTTGTTGGCACAACTAGGAAACAGGCTGTTGTGTAGGGGACTCTGCAAAGCCACCTCCACTTTTCTAGGGCTGCTGGGAGCTACTCTGAGACTTCCTCAAGTCTGCATTTAGGGAAAGGTAGGCTGGGCCCAGAACAGGTGCTGGAGTGGGACTGCTAGAGAGGGAAGAGTTAAAGGCCACACAGCCCTTTTCCTGCCCTTATTGGCCACCCGAAGAGCATCACTGACCTGATACATTTAGCCCGCCCTGGCCCTTTCACCCCAGCAGCCTAGGCCTACTTGTGTGGGTGGGTGGTTTGGACTTCGTGAAGCCATGGGGCTCATGAGGTAGCAGTGACTTCTAGATTTCAAAGTTTCTTCTCATTTATTCTTTCATCAAATTCCTCCTCCTCTCTCATGAGACCATCAGATCAGGCAGGGATTGTTTGAGATGTAGGTTGAGTTTCCCTCCACTCTGCCACTGCCTCCTTGCATGAAACCAAAGATGGGAGGTACAAGATGGGAGGCTCGGTTCTGGTCCTGCCTTTGCCACTAACTCGTCTGAAACCATAAGCAAGTCATCTGCTCTTGGTCTTGCTGTCCTTGTTTTTGGCTGGGGGTGGGGTGGGAAGAGCTGGAGTGGTAGTATTCTGAGTGTTGCTTCTTCTGTTAGCTGCCTGACAACGCAGATCAGACACAGTTTCATGTTTTGGTGTGATGGGCTTTCTCAAACCCATCCTTTGAGAGATGGTGTGCTAAATAATATGGAGTTACTTTAAAGTTCCTAAGCGTGTTTCCTCATGTGCGTAGTGGAGGGTGATAATGATAGGGTAGATGTGAGGATTGAATGAGATAACGCACGTATAGGTCTTTACTGCTCAGTGAAGATTTTATCATTGTCATCATTATTATAATGTCCAAGCTACAGCCTTAGCGTTCCTAAGGCGCCCGACTGAATATTCTCTTGGATCTGAATCAGTAGCGTCTTTGGAGTGGGGAACAGGGAAGAGGACAGAAAAGGAGCAAAAGGTGGGTGGGGACATAGGTTAGTTTGAAAAGGTCACCTTTGGGTAAGTCCAGAGAAGAGGGTTCTGGCTACTCATTCACTCTGGCACTGATGGCAGCTTTCTTTCCTTTCAGCACGATGACCGGGAAGGCGAAGGCAGTGAGAAGTGGGTGAGCCGGGGCCGGGGCAGAGGAGCCTTTCCCCGGGGTCGGGGCAGGTTCATGTTCCGGAAGTCCAGCACCAGCCCCAAATGGGCCCATGACAAGTTCAGTGGGGAAGAAGGCGAGATTGAAGACGACGAAAGTGGAACAGAGAACCGAGAAGAGAAGGACAATTTACAGCCCACCACCGAGTAGGGGCCGCTCTGACGAGAGCCCCTGGCCAGGGGAGAGAGGCACTGGGAAGATGGCTGGTGAAGAGCTAAACAGAAGAGCCCCAAGAAGATTCTGAAAATCCCACCCCACCCCCCACCAGCCATGCAGAATCCTACTATAGCCGAAAGCATTCCTGGTGCAGTGTCCCACTGGACAGAGGCCTCTGACCCTGGAACCGGGGTCAGGCCTAGCTCTTGAACAGAATACAACGCGTTGGGCTTTAGCTGTGTCTCATTTGTTGTTGGTGTATGGGGTGGGGGCTGGGGTAGGGAGGGGAGAACGATACTTGGATTTTGGTTTGTTCCCTATTAGAAACCAGTTTTGTTCTTAATTTCATTTCATTTGGAGCTAAGAGGACTAATTTGATGATTTTCAATCTCTTCTCCCTTTTCCTGGTTTTTAAAGCCCTTTTTTTTAGATATATGTAGTAATATTAGCAAAAAGATTTAATTTGGGCAATTTTGATTCTTAAAAGAGGAGACAAAGCATGTGAATAAACATTGAAATGTTCACCTCAGTTTGGGACCAAACTGCTTGGATCTTTGTAAAAACCGGTTTTGTATGTCGAGGAGGAGTTCAAGGCCTTTCTGACCACCTTGTGTCCCCTTTTCTGCACAGCCATGTGTCACATGGTATTGCTCCTAACCACACCCCATGTGCCCCTCCCCCCAGTGTTTTCTGATTTCTTCTGGGCCGAGCTTCCCATTCTCTACCAGCAGCACCAGTATCCCAACTTTCTAGTTCTGCTGATCTCTCAGCAACAGCGGTGGAAACTGGGTTGGCGGTTTCTGGTCTGTTTTCTAAGAAACTTATGAATTCTATTATCTTTACAAATATAAGATGAGAAAATAATTTTTTCAATATTTTTTATTAATCTTTTTATAAAATGAAAAGAAACTCCTATGATTGGTTAAGGAAGGTGGTTATGCCTGAGTGGTTTGTGGGGTTTTCTTTTTTTTTTTTCTTTTCATTCTTTTTAATCTTAAACTTTAAGTTGGAACATTCTCAGATGTTTGGGGGGAAAACATCCTCTTAAAATGGGTCCTTGTGCTTGCCTTCTGGGGAGGCGGTCCTGAGCAGGTGAATCATAGGCACTTATGCATATGGTATATGCGGACTGCACCCACCTCTTCCCCCCACCTTTGCCTCCTGGGTTGTTGTGCTTTTTCCTTACTTTGCTACATTTCTATAGTTAAGTTGGTTTTACTTGAATGACTCATGTTGAGGGAAAAAAATGCAAATACCCTTAAAGATTTGTTTCAACTCCTCCTGCAAATAAAAATAAATAAATGAAGTGGCAGATGTAAATGGACTCTGGTCATTGTCACCCTGAGAGTGTTGGGTGGGGGATGGATCTCTCTGGTAGCAGCTTCAGGAGACCTGGAAGATAAAATGCCTGCTGGGAGCTGGATCCAGACTTCTGCCCAGCCCCATCCTCACCAGCCCCCACACTCATTCTGGGAGGAGCCTCAGTTGTCCCCCTGGTGGTTTATGACTCCGCATTCCCATCCCAACGGTTTCACTCTATCCCGTACCTTGGACATGCCGGAACCAGATTTTTTTCACTACGGTGTGTCATGAACAAGGACTTTGGCTTCGAAGATGGTGGGGCAGGGGCCAAGGGGTGTGGTAACAAGGCTCAGCCTGCTTTCCTCAGAGCAGGAAGATGATCTGAAAGACTAGCCCTCATGGGCAGGGCACCAGGTGGGCCCTAACCTTCAGCACTTTCTAGCTCTGGGCTGGCTGTAGCCAGGAGCACCGAAAACCAAAGTTCCTTTCTTACCACCTTTTCCTTCCCCCCTTCCGCGGGAGAATCCGAAGGTGATTTCTGAAACCAAACTGAAGCATCTTTGCCCTCTTATTCCTCTTCCGTAAATGGGTGCCAGCAAGGATTGCACACCTCCCAGAGAAAGCAGAGTACACCAGAAGTAGGTTTGTGCGCAGTGGAGCAAACACCTCATTCCACCCAGCTCCTGACTTGGAGCGGTTCCTGCCTGCAGGGGGGCCCCACCCTGGTACGTGCCTCTTCCCACCTCTTCCCTGCAGCTAAAAGCTTACCAACAGGAAGAGGATAGGCCGGGGAGGCTCTGCGGAAGGTGGGTGGGAGCCTGAGGGCTAAGATTGGGAGGAGGGGTGGCAGCTGGACTGGAAATTTAGGTGACTAGGCTGGCGAGAGCCGGTGAGGGAGCTGTGACCTCAGCACTGTCTGGGGACCCTGGAGTTCTCACCCCTAGTTTGGGGGCCGAACCTGCTGAGCCGGGCCGCCCCCTCTCCCACACCCACTCTCAGCACCTGGAGCCAAGACTTGTCCTATCCGCTGGTGTCTCCGCCTCCTTTGCTTCAATCTCGCAGTTAGTCCCAGCCTACCCAGGCCCAGTACTCGGCTGCCCGCGTGTTCGCACTGTCCTCCCTACCCGGCTCTGGAGGGCGTCCCGGAAACTATGGGTATGTGCAGAGGGTTTAGGGTGGCTCCTCTACACACCGTGTGGAAATGGCAACCAAAGTCTACACTACCACCCCGCTCTCCCGCTGTCCTCAACATGGATTTCGGGACTTGCGCCACGGCCAGGCGGCCCTGGCTGGGCCCTTCTGAGCCGCGCTTCCGCCCGCAGAGGTGCTGGTCCTGGCAGGATACCGCGCGCAGAAGGAGGGCGAGCTGAGTCTGGCGCTGGGGGATGTGGTCCGACAGGTGTGCAAGGGACCTGCAAGGGGATGGCTGCGCGGAGAGCTGGGGGGCCATTGTGGCCTCTTCCCCGAGCGCCTGGTGCAGGTGAGGTCGGACGGGTGTTGTGGGGGATGTGGTCCGACAGGTGTGCAAGGGACCTGCAAGGGGATGGCTGCGCGGAGAGCTGGGGGGCCATTGTGGCCTCTTCCCCGAGCGCCTGGTGCAGGTGAGGTCGGACGGGTGTTGGCTTGGAGGCGCGGTCGGGTCTCAGCCCTCACCCTGGGGACCTGAGAGCCCCTTTCCCCTGGCCCTCATTTCCAGGAGATTCCGGAGACATTGCGTGGTGCGGGAGAGGCGCCTAGACCACGCTTTCCGCGCACTCACGGTGAGAGGCCGAAGGGTGGGCGGGAGTATGGAGCCAGCTACGTCCTGCCACCCCCAACTCTCGGGGACTGGCGCCTCTGTGGGCGGAGCTGCTCAGCTGCTCTGAGGTCTGTGACTGTTTCTCGAACACAATGCTCCGCCCTGGGCGGGGCCTGGAGGTACCGAGCCGGGCACTCTCAGCCCGGACCCCCCAGCTCAGCGGACTGGCGCCCGGCTTGAGTGGCCTCGTTCACGTCCCATTCAAGGTCGCCCTGCCAAATCTTGGAGCCCCCAGAGATGGTGCAAAGTGAACTTCAGCTACAGCCCGGAGCAGGCGGATGAGCTGAAGCTGCAAGCTGGGGAGATAGTGGAAGTGATAAAGGAGGTAGGGGAAGAGTTGATGAGAGGATTTGGGGGAGATAATGGGGCGCATCTCCGGGTGAGAGGAGATGGCTGAAGTGAGGGTGGGGGCTTTGGGAGTGGTGAGGGATGCAGACAAGGGACACAGAGGGAGCAAGGATGGAGGTGGTCATCGGGCAGAATCGGGGCAGAACCAAGAGTGTACGATTTCTAGAGAGACCTTTAGGTAGAATGAGATGTCCGTGCGTCCAACCCCCTCCGCAGATTGAGGACGGCTGGTGGCTGGGAAAGAAGAACGGGCAGCTGGGAGCCTTCCCATCCAACTTTGTGGAGTTGCTGGACAGTGGGCCCCCAAGTGAGACCTGGACCCTGTGACCCCGTGAGACCCTGTGACCAGACTCTGCAATCTCCAATGACCCTCCCAGTGGCGTGAGCCTGTGATCCACACATCCTGACCCTTTGTCCCCTTTGACCTCTTCTATGATCTAAGCTGTGAATTAGCAACCCTGCCAACCTCCCTTTCCCTCACCAGGCCTTGATAACCCAGACATGCCTTCAATCAGTCCTGATTCCCAGCGGCCTCCCAAGGTAAATTGGGTGGAGTGGGCACAGAGGTGGTGCATTCCTCGTGGGGCTTGGGGGGTGGGGCACGGTGTGGAGGCTCAGCTTGTTCCTCCCTCTCCTTGCCCTCACTAGCTGGGCAGCCTGACCTACGACAGCCCTCCAGACTACCTGCGGACAGGTGAGCACCCAGCCAAATTATCCCTTGGATAGCCCTTCCCAAAGCCACGTTGACCTCAGGGAGTGGGGACCCAGCTAGAATGATGGAGGAGGGAGCTGCAGACTGATTTGGGGAGGGGAGTTGGCTCCAGAGGACTGACCTCCCCTCAGTCTGCCACCCTGAGACCTACAGAGTCCTGTTTGACTACCAGCCGGAGGCCCCAGATGAGTTGGCACTGCGGAGGGGCGAAGAGGTGAAAGTGCTGAGGAAGGTACAGAAGGCACAGGCAGAGGAGGGTGCAGGGAAGGGCATGTTGAGAAGGGGTGGGACCTGGGGAGGAAGGAGCTTGGGGACCTGGCTCACCTCCCCACAGCATCTTTCTCTCTCAGACCACAGAGGATAAGGGCTGGTGGGAAGGAGAGTCCCAAGGCAGAAGAGGTGTTTTCCCAGACAACTTTGTGCTCCCACCACCCCCAGTGAGTATGAAGCCAGACACTCAGGTGGGGCGGGGGGACAGGCTACTCTGGACAGAGTTGGGAGCCATAGTGCTCACTGGACACAGCTGGAGGGCCACCCCTAAATGAGGGTGAACCTAGAAATGTGGGGGCTTCTGTTCATATCCTGATATTTCTTGTTTGCACAGACCAAGAAGCTGATCCCACGAAAAGTGGCATCCCGAGAATCAGGTGGGTGCCCAGGAAGCCCAGGATTGGGGTGAGGGGCTGTCCCAGAGGCCCATCAGTTGCCTGCAAACACCTACAGCTCCCCAGTGGTCCAATACACCCGCTGAGGAGCTATGTCCTGGTGGTCTGTTAGGAATGTATGTGGGTCAGTATTTGTGTGTGTCGATATGCTCATGTTTCTCTGTATGTCTTGAGAATGCAGCTGTCAGCATGCTTATATTTGTTTCATTTTTTCCTGAGAGAATGTATGGACTGATGTGTTTTTGTCTACGAGACTGCATGTATGTTCACGTATCTTTTAAGTGTGTATATGAATAACTTTGTATATGTGTCTATGGGGATGTGTCTTTTAATTTACCTTTTCTTTAAAAAGATTTTATTTATTTTTAGAGAGAGGGGAAGGGAGAGAGAAAGAGAGGGAGAGAAACATCAATGTGTGGTTGCCTCTCATGTGCCCCTGCTGGGGACCTGGCCCACAACCCTGGCATGTGCCCTGACTGGGAATCGAACTGGTGACCCTTTGGTCCTCAGGCCCATGCTGAATCCACTGAGCTATACCAGCCAGAGCTAATTTACCTTTTAATGTAATATTTCACACATATCAAGAATACATATGTGTGTATATATGTATGTGTGCAAATATATATATACATATTACATATACTATGTTTTAAAACTTCACGAAAACCTGTGATCTGTCACTCCAACCCAAGAAGTAGAACATGCCATGAGTTTGTGTGCATGTTCCTCCTCATTCCCACTCTGCACCTTCCCTCCATACCAAGGGTAACCACTGAATTTTGTGTTTATAGTTCTCATGAGCTTTTAAGTTTACTTACATATGTATGTGCCTAAACAGTGTATCACTTACACTGTTGCTTGTTTTTGAGCTTTATAAAAATGGTATGTTTATAGTGTCTGCGATTTACTGTTTCCAATCAGCATTATATTTCTAAGATTCATCCATGTTGTGCGTAGTCGCAGTTCATTTTTCTCTGCTGTATAATACTCCTAGGGAATCACTTCGGTTTATGTATCTGGTCTCCTCCTGACGTTGGACATTTTTAGTGTTTCTAGTTTTTACTATTGCAAATAGTGCTGCTGTGAATATTCATGTGCCTGTCTTCTGGTATGTAGGTATAATTGCTTCTCTAGGATATAATTCTAGGAGTAGCAATGCTAAATTATAGAGTATGTGAATGTTCAACTTTTATTAGACAAAGTCAGATTATTTTCCAAAGTGATTTTATACTTCAATGCTTCACCATCTGTGTATAAGAGATCTTTATAATCTAAACCCTCTTCAACACTTGGTATTATTAGATTTCATTATTTTTGTGAACCTATTAGGTACAAAATACCATTTCATTGTGGACTTAATTTGCAGTTCCCTAGTTAGTAATTCTTTGTTGGAGTTCTTTATATATTCTGAATATCATCCTTTTTTTTATAAAGTATTTTTTATTATTTTTTAAAAGATTTTATTTATTTTTAGAGAGAGGGAAAGGAAAGGAGAAAGAGAGGGAGAGAAACTTCAATGTGTGGTTGCCTCTTGTGCGCCCCCTACTGGGGACCTGGCCCGCAACCCAGGCCGGACTGGGAATCGAACCTGTGACCTTTTAGTTTCCAGGCTGGCGCTCAGTCCACTGAGCCACACTAGCCAGGGCTGAATATCAATCCTTCATGGGTTATACATGTTAAAGTGCTGCTTTTTATTTTTAAGTGCTTTTATCCATGTAGCATTGATTTTAAAGGGTGATCCAATTACTCCTTTTTTCAAATGGACAGTCAGATGTGCCAGCATCATGTATTGTATTCTGCATGTGGGTTTTATACAACTTTTTTATAAGATTTATTCCTAGATACCTCAGTTTTTATTCTGTCTCTTAAAAATTAGATATCCTTCTGTTTATTATAGGCATATAGAAGTGAATTGATTTTTGTATATTGATCTTAAAGCTGGCCATTGTGGTAACTGTTTATTTTAATTTATCTATAGATTTTTTTATCCTCCCCTGAGGACATGCTTATTAATTTTAGAGGGGAAGGAAGGGATAGAGAGAGGGAGAGACATCTGTGTGAGAGAGATACATCAATCAGTTGCCTCTGGACTGAACCTATAACCCGTGCATGTGCCCTGACTGGGAATCGAACCAGCAACCTTTCGATTCATAGGCCGCCACTAAATCCACTGAGCCACACCAGCCAGGGCTAAATTCTTAATAAGTTTTGAATGAAGACAATCATGTCATCTGTGAGTAATAATAATTTTGTTCTACCTTTTTTGTCCCTTATGCCTTTTTTTTTTCACTATAGGGGTAGGATCTCAGTATAATATTGAATAGAAGTGGCGATGCTGAACATCATTACCTTGTTTCTGATTTTAAATGAAATGCTTCTGTTGAAATATTTTTCTAGTTTTTCTTATAGGTTTCACATTTATTTTTACTGTCCTCATCTGATTATCAGTGTTGTACTGGCCCAGGAATGAGTTAAGGAGTATGGACTTTGTTTCTTAAATGTCTGGTAGATGTTGTATCAGATGGAAATCATCTTTCCTGGAAAGCTGGTAAAGCTTGCCTGTTTTCTTTTTCTCCACCATGGGAAAAAATATATTTAAATTTCTTTCATAGTTATAAACAAGTCTAGTTGAAATTCTGTCCTTTTCTTTTTCTTAAAACAACAGAAATTGAATCTCACACATTTTTGGAGGCTAGAAATTTGAAATCAAGATGTTGGCTGGGCCACGTTTTCTGTGAAGGCTCTGGGGAAGAATCGTTTCCCGGTCTCTGCTGGGCGTCTGGTACCTGGTGCTAGCAACCTGGCCTTGTAGATGCATCACTGCATTCTCTGTCTTTACACGGCCTTCTGCCCTGTGTGTGTGTCCAAACTTCTCTCTTCTAATGACATCAGTCATTGGTTTTGGGCCCACCCTACTCCATTGTGACCTCATCTCAACTTGATTACATCTGCTAAGACCCATGTACAAGTGCTCTCCAAATGGCCTCACTGTGGAATTAAGGAGGGAAGAAGTCTCACGCTTAAGAGACTTGCATGGACCACGTTCTGTCTCCTGGCCTCTAGTTAACAACGGCTGGCCAAAAATCTGGCTACAGTTCTTGAATAAGTTATCTGTGCAGAGTTGTTCATAATCTCATTATCTTTTAAGTCTCATCTGTATCTGCAGTTACAGGTTCTTTCATTTCTAAGAATGTTTTTTTCCCTGTTTTTTTTTGTTCAGTCTCACCAGAGTTGTTAACATAATCAAGTACTTAGATTTTTTTTCATATCATAACTTTTTTATTGTGCTTTAAAAATATAAGATTTACCTTCTTAATCGTTTTTAAACATATATATTTTTTAAGTTTACGTAATTTATTATTTATTTATTTATTTTTAGAGAGGGGGAAGGGAGAGAGGGAGAGAAACATCAATGTGTGGTTGCCTCTCACATGCCCCCTGCTGGGGACCTGGCCCACAACCCAGCCATGTGCCTGGACTGGGAATTGAACTGGCAACCCTCTGGTCCACAGGCTGGCACTCAAGCCACTGAGCAGCACCAGCCAGGCCTAAACATACTTTTAAAGATTTTATTTATTTAGCATATTTTTAAAAGATTTTTAAAATTTCTTTTTAGAGAGATGGGAAGGGAGGGAGAATGAGAGAGAAAAAATTGATTGGTTGCCTGTCCCACTGCCTGCAACCCAGGCCTATGCCTTGACCAGGAGTCAAACCAGTGACCTTGTGGCTCGCAGGCTGGCACTCAATCCACTGAGCCACACTAACTGGGGCCCGAATCATTTCTAAGTGTAAAGTTGTGTTAACTTTACGCACATCATTATTCAACAAACATCTCTAGAAAGTACCGTTATTCTTTTTACTCTAGTCTTTTACTATTTTCTTTAGTGATAAATTGGTGAGTTTGGACTACATTAATCATAGTTATATTTAACTTTACAATCTAAAGTCTTAAACTTCCTCCTGAATAAAATCTCCCAAATATTATTGTTGAATTGTTTATTCCTCGTTTCAGTTCTATCAGCATTTGCTTCATGCACTAATCTTTTTTAATCTATTTTATTGATTATGCTATTACAGTTGTCCCATTTTCCCCCCTTCACTCCCCTCCACCCTGCACACTCCCTCCCACCCACATTCCCCCCTTTTAGTTCATGTCCATGGGTCACACATATAAGTTCTTTGGCTTCTACATTTCCTATACTATTCTTAACCACCCCCTGTCTATTTTCTACCTACCATCTATGCTACTTATTCTCTGTACCTTTTCCCCCTCCCTCTTCCTCTCACTTCCCTGTTGCTAGCCCTCCATGTGATCTCCATTTCTGCGGTTCTGTTCCTGTTCTAGTTGTTTGCTTAGTTCATTTTTGTTTTTGTTTTAGGTTCAGTTGTTAAAAACTGAGTTTGCTGTCATTTTACTGTACAAGTTTTTTTTATCTTCTTTTTCTTAGATAAATCCCTTTAACATTTCATATAAAAAGGGCTTGGTGATGATGAACTCCTTTAATTTGACCTTATCTGGGAAGCACTCTGTCTGCCCTTCCATTCTAAATGATAGCTTTGCTGGATACAGTAATCTTGGATGTAGGTAATTGCCTTTCATGACTTGGAATACTTCTTTCCAGCCCCTTCTTGCCTGCAAGGTCTCTTTTGAGAAATCAGCTGACAGTCTTATGGGAACTCCTGTGTAGGTAACTGTCTCTTTATTTCTTGCTGCTTCTAGGATTTTCTCACTTTTAATTTTGGCTAATGTAATTATGTTGTGCCTTGGTGTGTACCTCCTTCAGTCCAACTTCTTTGGGACTCTCTGAGCTTCCTGGACTTCTTGGGAGTCTATTTCCTTTGCCAGATTGGACAAGTTCTCCTTTATTATTTGTTCACATAACTTTTCCACTTGTTGCTCTTCCTCTTTTCTTTCTGGTACCCCTATAATTTGGATGTTGGAACGTTTAAAGATGTCCTGGAGATTCCTAAGCCTCTCATCA